CCACCAGGACCGCCAGGTCTCTTTCCCCTACACTACGTTTAGCTTTCAGTGGCTTCTTTGGGGGAAGTTAAAATCACAGAGTGCAGACAATAAGTTATTTAAGGATCTCTAGCAAAAAAATAAAAGAGAAAGACTCTTGTAATGAACTTATTTCCTAACCATGGACCATGGTGGATCTTACATCAGCAGATGCGGAGAGAAAGATAGATTTTTCATTTTTTTCTTTGTATTTCTTTGATTCCATAATAACTTAGGAAAGAAAGGGAGGAAAAACTAATCAAAAAGGTGAGGTGCCCAGACAGATCCTGCAGTGGGTTTTGAAGACTAATCTTCCATTGATATAGACAGGAATTTTGTCTGGGTAAGGAATGGGGGAACGGGCTTTCATGAAGGTGTGTCTTGTGAGCCTCACAGCTGTATTGGCTGAAAAGGTCCTTTTGCTGGGTAAGTTTTGAGGTGCTTGGGTTCAGGGTAGGCTGGCAACACAATATTGGAGTTATTTAGTGGATTTGCCTTTTCTTTTGTTCCAAAATTCCTATTGTTCACCTTGCCACCATGAAGCTTTAAAGTGATCTGAAGTATTTACAGAAAAATTGCCTAATAATTGTACACAGGGAACTGAGATATATTTTAATGTGGTAAAGAAATGACTTGGTTTTCAGGCTCCTGCAGCTTAAGCCTCCAGCCTGGAAATTGGATGCCTGAGGTGAACACTGACATTATCCTGCTGACTCCAGCTGCAGGATGGAAGATGAAGGAAAAAACCTTTTCCTATGTTTGAGCCAGAACTTATGCAGCAATGACTTTGTCTGAACAAAGTCCAGTTACTTGGTGTCACAAAAGGCAAGGGAAATTTTTTTAAATGTCCAATTTACTTCACATAGAAATTTTTCTTTAAAAGAACAGCAGTCATTGCAAACTATCAAGCCCAATCTGCCTGAAGACAGGACACTGAGAGATTTCAGTCAGTTCTGAACCATTCTGGATCTCATTCTTTCAGTTAAGTGTTACAGAAACAAATGGGCCCTGGGAGACCATCAAAATCACTAAAAACCTAGCTAGCGTCACTTAAGTAGATGCACAAGTTATCTCCAATTTTCAGTGCCAAAAACTGGAAAGAGAAATTTTGTGTACTTTCTAGCTCGCTGCAGATACTCTGTTGCGATCGTTCCTGCAGCAAAAATCAAAGGCATATTCAGTAACATTTGCGATGGGGAAGACCTGCTGGAAATGTGGCCTTAACTGTCACGGTTACTGTGGATACATAAAAGAAAAGGCCTTACTCTAACCAACTTTCAAATAATCTTACTTGTATATAATTTCTGCGCTATGAAATTATTGGATTCCTTCTTAAGATTATTTGCTTTTCACTAACATTCTATCATGGAGTAGCACAGAGATAATGTTGGTCTTTGTTCCATTCTTGTAGGCATTGGTGCTGGCAAGACATCAGAGGACCCACCGTCTCCTGTATCTATGGCATTTGCACCTCCTAGAAACATGGATGGCCCCAAGCTGCAGACCAAGATGAGCACATGGACTCCACTGAACCATCAGCTCATGAATGATAAGGTAAGTTCTGTGCAAATGGGTCAAATTCATAGAGCAACAGAATTGTTGAGGTTGGAAGGGACATCTGGAGAACAGCTGGTCCAACCCCTTGAGGCATCAGGTACAGCATTTGCTCAGGATCTGGTCAGGTCTGGTCAGATTTTGAATATTCCCAAATCCTAAGGCAAATTCTCAGGTTCACTTCACTTCAAGTCACAGAAAAATTTAACTTATGTTTTTGCCTGTGTAAAACATGAGTAATGGAATAAGAACTTAAAGATTCTGTATACTATTAGAAGTATTAGAGGCATCCTGGCCTGTATCAGCCATGGGGTGTCCAGCAGGAGCAGGGAGGGGATCGTGCCCCTGGGCTAGGCACTGCTGAGGCCGCCCCT